TGGTAGAATTTTTTCCTGTAAAGTTTCACGTACTCGTGAAAAGAAGACACTATCCGAAATTTTTTAGGTGAGATAAAGAGCGCATGTTTTTGCAGATGTACGTAGGCCCTTAGTAGTCCAGGGTTTATGATGTTTTAATTTGACAGGCCTGAGAGGAAAGGCTTTGGATGCCAGACCAGATAATGTTTGTGTAAATCTGGGAAAATTCAGTGTCTACATCACCAGAGATGACATGCCAATCTGTTGTTAGACAAAGCTGCTTAAAATTTATAAAGTTTTTTCCGAAAAAATACGTCCTAATTTACGAAAGTGTTTCTACTCTCGGATTTTATGGAATTTTGTTAATACTCCTTCATGATCAGAGAAGCCTGAGTTCAACACAGTACAGTCAACCAATTCTGGATCAAAGGATGACACGACATAGTCTATAGTACTAGAACAAGTTCTAGTGATTCTTGTTGGTGCATTAACATGCATTACTACACCAAAAGTCTCGAAGATAGACTGGAGAGATTCCCGAGCATCACACACACTGGAGAAGTCAATATTAAGGTCACCACACAAGATCAACCTGCTATTCACAGGCAGGGACTCTAGCAAACTCAGTAATTTCTGAAAGAACATATGCATATCTGCGTCAGGTGTTCTATAAATACAAACAATATAGAGGTCATAAGCAATGTGGTAGATGATAGAAAATTCAAACATTTTCTCGGCTAATAAGTGATCAAATTTTGTTATTGCCGTAAGGTTTTTGTTGGTAGACATTATCATAGTACCTCCATGAGATAAATTACTTCTATTAAATCTAGCTATTGTTGTGTAATTTTTCACAAACACGGGCTCATCGGTATTTAACCAATGTTCCGTTATGGCAATGATTTCAGGAAATTTGAGCTGTTCCAATAAAAGAAATAATTCATCTGTTTTGTGTCTTAAGGACTGAACATTGATAAGAAAAATACCTAGCTTGCTATCGTCCGATTTATCAGAGGGTGCTTGATCCTCTGTTCGCGTCAAATGAATTAAAAATTTTTATTTTTAGATGGAGAGCCACTGGAAAAATACTTGCTGTGGCTTTCCCTAGACTTCTGAAGGTGAAATAGCTTCTCTGATGAGAAAAAGGTCCTGAAGGCGGAGAGATCTGCCTCAACCTCAGCCACGCCAATGCCATACGCGTCGTGGAAGCGATAAAACAACTTGCGCAGGGAGTCCATGTCGCATGGGAGACCTTCCGATGCTAGCGCCAACTTGATGCTGGTGTTGGTGTGTCCCTCAAAACACGCACTGGGGGGTTGGTCATGGAGGTACGCAAGGAATAGCCTGACAGCTTTCAATATCGAAGGGTCCCTTAGTCTCGCCAACAAATAACGTCCATTGGCCGTGTCCGATTCACGCGATAACCGCACAATAGGTGGAGTCATTGGGTCCAAACTCAGCACCTCACCTTCCCTTGGATGCTTATTGATAATATTTTTCGCCTCCTGCTGCCCAAAGGACTTACTCGCAGCTATAGCCTCCCTGTCTGAACCAATTTTAACGTATTTGACCTCCTTGGCTAGATCTGTAGGTAAATTGGAAGATTGTGGAAGGCTTCGTTTCTCCAAAGTGGAAATCTTAGGCTGTTGAAATCCCATGGCAGAAGATCTTGATTTTTGCGGCGATACCTCCGAGGGAGTCAAAGATGGTTGGACATTGCTATTGACTACTTCAATTCCTGGGGGCCACATACTTATATCAAGCAGCCGCTCTAGGTGCCTTATATTCTGCACTCCAACTTTGAATTTTGAGAGTGAACTGTCCTCACTATTAAGCATAGGAAAGCAACGAATAAAGTCCGAAGTTCCAAGTTTATCCTTGATATAGTGAGCCAGTTGGTTTGCCGTAAAGGGAGATGGGATATTGGACACAACGACATAATGCCAGGCTTTTCTAATGGAGGGTTTGTGAGGTGGGGGAGTACTGACTTTAGAAGAAGTGACACCCACTGAGGCTTGGCAATCTGTCTGAGTCGAAGTTGACTTTTTTATTGCTGGTGGGCTACTCCTATTATTTTGCTTGCCTTGGGCAGCAAACTTTTCTATTGTGGTTGCCATCTGATTTACGCTCCTACGCAGCTCACTGACTTCCTTCAAAAGATCTACCTTTGAAGAGTCATGAACCTGGACCCTAACAGACTCATCCTGAAAGTCCATAAAAATGGATGATAGGTTGAGTATTTCTTGTTTTATTTCACTGATCGAATGAAATAAAGATTGTTGACCATTTTCCGAAATTTTGGAGTGGTGGCAGTGAATATCATCCATTTTTTTGTATAAAGACTTCCATTTGGAGTCATGATAACTCAATATGTCATAGATTTCAGTTATGACTGGAAGCAGGTCGTTGTTCCTTTTTAAACAGGTTCCCAGACCTTCAACAGTTTCTAGAGGGATCTGTGATTTCTGAAGCTGTGAAACTTTGTCATGGAGATACTTCATCGTGGGAGAATCACAAACATTGCGGCGGCACTCCCCACTACAACGAAGTCTATATTTGTCCTTTTCCGAGATGGTTTTTTGGCACGAATCACACTTAAAATCTGCCATTTGGAAGTGTAAAGGAACAGCAAAATCGGAAAATATTAAATTAAACACGACAGTATAGTTCAATAATAAAAACAGTGTCAATGTCAACGAAGCTAGGTCACGTTTAAAAAAATATCTATATAAAAATAATTATATAAAATAAAGCAGAAACGCACGTTCAGCGAAAACTAGCGAACTGAACTGGGTCGGGTCAAGACCGAATAACAACACACGACAAATCCAAACAAAACAAAACAAAACAAACGTTCAATACCGGCGGTCCACAAACGAAACGAAAGCACGACCGTCTCGTATGACTGTTTGATCTGAACTGATAAAATTAAACTTTAGATTAAGAATTACTGCCTAATAACAGTTCCCTAATTATATAAGATAAGAAAAATCCCCTAAATTTTTAAACAGCAAATTCTTTATATCTACTTTAAAATAATTATTTAAAACTTTTTTTATTTTAGTTTTAACGCACTGGTTAACGTAATGGTTATTTTAATTACATATAAGCTATACAGTGTAATTTTCAATTTAGTGAGCTTTTTTACATTTGTTTTCTTCATTTTTAGGAAGTGTCTAATATGTCAAAAGCTATACATTTTAGGAATTTGTTTTTCTAATGAAACTCACCTTTATTTTCTTTCTTAGAATCCGAGAACCTATTAATATATGGGGTGTTAATTTACCATTACAAAAGAAACGCAACTTTAATGTGTAACTTATTTGGGGAGGGTAACTACAGGGTTGTGGAATTCTATATAATTTTAGAAAATGCTTTAAATTAACTTACAAAGCACACAAAATTTTATTTCAATACAAATTATTGTCGTTGTCCTTGGAGACACAACATCGTATGAGAGGCGCCACCCGGTATAATTCGATATCAATCAAAACTTTAATAATGAGAATATGAGTAGAATAGGTATAGCTTATGCATTGGATTCGTTTACTTGAATAAATATACTTGAAAAAACAATTGAAAAAAAAATCAGCTAAAAAGAAAAAACTTCACTAATTTACAAAAAAATACTAAAATAAAAAATTAGAAGCAACAAGAAAAAATGCGTAAATATTTTAGTATTTTATCTATTTAACACAATACAGAACGTTTCATACTAATACATTCAAAGTAATTAAATTCCGAGGTAAAAATCTCAGGGAATTCCCTTATTGGTTCCCTTTTATAATTTGTCTTCAATGTTCGCGCATCGTATGTCAAGGCAAAATCATATAAAAATTAAAAAAAAACAAGAATGATAAAAAAAATTTAAACGAAAGCAATCAAATCTTATTCGTGCAACTAATTATTTTATTGTTCTAGGCTACTTCCTTTATTTTCAGTGCGTCATAAATTGACGGTTTTAATTGATATAGGCTTGGTGCATTTCGGTTGATTTCAACAAATTCCGACCGCAGCGCACTCTACGGCAGAAGTCAGAAATGATCAACACATAGTTCACGACGCCGCGCCGCCGCCGCGCCGTCTAGTCGATTACATTAAAATAATATTGAAATCGGGGTTTTGTCATAATATTTAAGTATTTTATTTTTTTGCTAGGGCATTTATTGAGATTATAAAACACTCAGGTACGAGGTTTGTGTGATGTAACGCTGTTTCGGGTAGTAAAAAATAAGTGAAAAAAAAATCGAACTAGGCGTCTTGTTGTGTTGTGCAATTTCAAATGTTAATAAAATTGCCCAAAAAAATGTTAACACGTAAAGAAGAGCGTAATTAGGGCGTTGTTGGGTGCAATAACATTCAATAACTCAACTTTTCCGGATATTCAACTCTCCCGAAACAATATTTTACAGCTTCATAATTTCTTACACCGATTTGATCAATAGTAAAAATGAATTGAAGCAGTTCGACAAAACAAGTGAGTAAACAAAGTGCGCGTTACATAATCAAAAAATTAAATAGACATATACTATGACAGAATGAAATATAATTTGCAATATTAATGGTATACTTTTTTAATCAACTAGTGATTAAATGTTTTATGAACATCTTCTAAAATTATAATAATGTACCTTTAAAAAATTTTGTTATAGGCGAAATAGCTCCAATTATGCTCCACTAACGTAGTTGAACTGATCTATTTTTTTTTAACTGGAATAATAAACTATAATGCAAGTTAGACCTTCTGAAGCTATCAAATTATTTACATTTTTATTTTTTTGTTATATATACTATTTTTTTTGCCATTTAAACCCATGTATTTGTATGTGTTCGTTATTTACGATATTCCCGGGCGGTGGCAGCACCGACGGAGAATGCACCAAGCCTATAGTATTAACTTTTTTTCGTAATTTTTTTTAAGTATGATTTTGCCGTCCGAGAATCGAAGAATTGTGACGGGTATGAATAAACGCTTGTGAAAATATGCCATTAAAAGATATTATTATCTTTCCATTTTCCAGGTGATCTCCGCCCCAGCCGCCCGCAGCGGCAACACCCTGGCCGCCTGCCAATTCCGCGGCTCCACGCTCTCCGTCAACGGCGAGCTCCAACAGCAAGCGGCCGCCCTGGCGCGCGCTCGCCAACCCTCCATGGGCATCGACACCGATATGGTGAGCGAGTTCGACCCGAGCAGCTCGGACAGCGGCGTGGTGGCCCAGTGCACCGCCGTCAAACCGCTCAAGCTACGCCTCTGCAAGCCGATCTTCGGGCGGGCGAAGCACGCGGCCGCCGCCAAAAACCGCCGGACTGACGGCGCGGGCGGCAAAAAGTCGCCCAAGGGCGGCGACGGTGAGGTGAAAGCGGTGGTGGAACACGTGGTGCCGCGGGTGCAGAAACCGCGCGACCCCGAAAGGGAAAAACGGCGGATAGCGAGAAAGAAGGAGAAGCGGGCGACGCTCATACTGGGACTGATTATGGGCTCGTTTATCGCATGTTGGTTGCCGTTCTTCTTCATGTACATACTTAGACTGGCCTATTGGATACCGCCTATTGCGTTTTCCACAGCCTTCTGGTTAGGGTGAGTATTGTTGGTTTTTCATAATTTGTAAATTAATGAGACACATTTCTTTTTTTCTTATATATTTTTAATTTAGTACCTTGCTGTATGATTGTTGATGGTGGACCAGTTGGACACAGAAAAATCGAATTTTTATATAGGACACCTTTCTTCTGAGAATCGTATAAAATATCCTTTCGGAAAAAAAAATTACATTTTTATACCGGTGTGGTACAAATTGCTTAGTGTGCATTCTTCCCAGCTTGTGTAAACAAGCAACAAACTATACAGGGTGGGCTACTGAAAATTTACAATGGCTATAATTCTTAAACCAAAAAAGATATCAAAAAAATAAAAAATACCGTTTCTATAATATCGAGGGGGAATACATATGACATAATGAGGCAAATGAGGTATTTTTCAAACCACCCCGACCCACCCCTAGGTCCCACCCACTCACTTCTAATCTCAAGATAGCGATATCCCACTTGTGACACTTCTTTGGAAAGCTAATTGAAATTGCTAAACGATGGTCATACAGATTTCAACTTCTGTCTTCTTTCAACAATTCCTGGTAAGTAGTGATAAGAAATGTAAGTGTGACAATTTGAAAGAAATTTAAAATGATAATTTATTTTAACAATTGCTCAAAATGACAGCCATTTTGTTCCATAAAATATACAAACGACTTTCAAATTCTTCTCTCACATTTTGGAAATTCTCTCTCGGAATATTTCGACATGCTTCAGTTATCCTCTGCCGCAATTCTTGCAACAAACCTGGTTTTGTCTTGTAGACTATGGATTTAGTGTAACCCCACAAGAAAAAGTCTTAAGGAGTGAGATCAGGTGACCTTGGCGGCCACTCGACCCCCACGCGACCCCTTCTACCAATCCATTGCCGTGGATAATATCTATCCAACCACCGCCTTGTGACAATAGAATAATGCGGAGGGGCTCCATCTTGATGAAAGTGTATGAGGTCTTCATTAAGAATTAAATTTCCTTCCAAATCTTTTTGATTTTCAACCTCATTTACAATGGCTGGCTCTATCAAATTGTTCAACCAAATCACCAGTCAAATTTCCGTCGATGAAAAATGGACCTATAATTTTATCGCCTAGTATTCCGCACCAAACATTGAGCTTTTGGGGATGTTGGGTGTGTCCTTCAACAACAATATGCGGATTCTCATCGCTCAAGTATCTGCAGTTCTGTTTATTCACAATTCCGTTTAAAAAAAAATGAGCATTCATCACTAAAACAAATATTTTTAGCGGGTGAAGGTTCCCTTCGAATTTCCTCCGTCATTAGTTCACAGAACTGAATCCTTCTATCTGGATCGTCGTCGCCAAGTTCCTGTAGAATCTTCATTTTGTAGGGATGGAATTTGTGCATTTTCAATACTCTCCTGACAGATGTTCGAGGTATACCTGTGATTGATGCCAACTGGCGTGTGGATGCTTTTGGATTGACCGATACTTGACCAATAACTTCCATCTGCATTTCTTCATTCAGTACCCTGGGCCCTATCCTTTTTTTATTTTTGACCGACCCAGTTTCTTGAAACTTTAAAATCAAATCTCTAACATAAACGTGACTTACGTTTTTGTCCGGATTTCTCTCATTGAAAGCACGGGCCGTTCTCAAATAACACATACCTTCAGCACCATAAAGAAAAACTATTTGAATTCTTTCTTCCACAGTATAAACCATTTTTCTTTCAAATAAGCGAATCAAATAAACGTTCAAAATACCACCAAATTTGCAAACGATTGAAAATCGATAGAAGACAGTGCAAAAACGCAAAGATATGCCGTTTTAAGATTCCTGTTTATTGAAAGTAAACAAATAGATGATAAGGAAGAATTTGCGTTATCGCAAAATTAGACTGAACGATTAGTAAAACATCTTAGTGTTGCCTTTTTTATTATCTACATTTTTTATTTTTAGCTTTAAAATGGCAATGGTTTAAAAATGGCATTGATGAGACTAGAAGTGAGGGGATGGCACCTAGGGGTGCGTCGGGGTGGTTTAAAAAATGCCTTATTTGCCTAATTTAGCTGGGTCCAAAATTGTAACTTATGCTGAAAAAATTACTTTTTTTATTAATGTCCACCTAATTTTTCGTGTAAGGGGTAGTTTTTCAATTTCACCCTAAAAACGTTATAATAATCGTTTAGCATTTTTCATGGGCTTTCCAAAAAGGTGCCACAAGTGGGGTGTTGCCATTTAAGATTTTCGAGTGAGTAGGGGTGCCGCTTAAGAGGTAGGTCGAGGCGGTTCAAAAAATACGTCATATGTATTCCCCTTCGATATCATAGAAGCGGTATTTTTTATTTTTTTGATATCTTTTTTTGTTTAAAAATTATAGTCATTGTAAGTTTTCAGTAGCCCACCCTGTATATCATAACCCACTTTTCCTAATTTTTAAATTTAGTTTTAAATTTGTTAAATATAAAGATTTATTACTATACAGGGTCAGGCAATAGGGGTCAGGCATCGGGCATCTGTAGCTCCTAGAATCAAAATCTTGGGAATTTTGTTTAAGTGCAAACCTAAAGTATGTTCTAGAATGTATTTTAGGAAAATATTTTAGCTTCTATAGTGGCTCAAAAAAGTGTGAGTGGATTGAGATTATTTTTTTAAATGGAACACCCTCTATATTATTGAAATTTTGGCTTTCTATCAGATCACTTTACATAATATAGTTTCAGAGATATTAATAAATAAATAAAAAAAATATATTTTTCAGACTTGCTTGAAAAAATTATTAAAAATAAAAGAACTGTCCTGAAATCAAAACTATTTTAGTCATTGGCTTTAGAGGGTCTGTACTTACTTTGCTATAAATATGGTAATCGTAGTTCGGATGTTCAAAATTCTACGCCAAATTTTCTAAAATATAAAATAATTTTTCTACGTTTTTTTTAACGAAACACCGTGTATTTGTTTTTCAATAGATGGACAATTAAAAAATGAACATTTTTTGTATTTAGAATATTTCAAAATTTTTAACGGTTTCGAAGATATTCGCTGTTTTATATTTTATATGGCTTTTTTCACAGTAAATTTTTATCAATGCCACCCAATGATTTTTCTCTCGTATTTTACCGTTGAAAGAGTCATAGGATATAATACTGCGTAAAAATTTTGAAATACTTAAATACAAAAGATGTTTATATTTTATCTCTCCATATAATAAGAAAATAATATACAAGGTGTTTCATTTAAAAAAATTATCCCGATCCCCTCACACTTTTTTGGGCCACCCTATAGAAGTTAAAATTATTTTCCTGAAATACATCCTCAGTTGAATTTTTGGGAGTAATTCTCGTTTTTTGCCGATTTTCATAGTATTTTTTAAAAATTGTACTTTTAAGCACAAAGAGTTCTTTTAAGAACTAAATTTTCGAGTTTTTGTATTGCATTTCTTGAAATTGTGCGTTGAAAATATGCCGAAACACTTAAATAGTCGAAGCAAAGAGCTTGTAACTTTCCTGATAAAGTATTTTGAACGAAAACGTGACAAATCCTTTTTACCCTTGACTGCAGTTAGAGAAGTAATTTTGTTAGATAAGCACATTATACCACTTTCATCAATAAATAAATAAATAACCCATAATAACGCTTAGAATAATCTTTATAATGGACTAGTTTTTGCTAATATGTAATAAGTAAAATAAGCTATAAAAAAAATAAATCAATTAAATACTAAACTATTAGTAATTGTTAAATTAAAAATAAACCGTAAAAATCTTTAAAAATGATATAATAAATACATATATTGTTTGTCAATTTTAAATTAAATTTCATCTCATAAATCCATCACAATCTGGCAGCGCTTTCGCCATCGCTTTTCACTCAAAGTTGATCACGTGCATCGGAAATTGTTTTGCGATTACAAAATTTCGTACGGGGTCTTGAAATACCCGACGCGAATTCTGGGAGGTTAAATGTAACGTTTGATTTCTGTCGTTTTCAGGTACATGAATTCCGCGCTGAACCCCGTCATCTACACCATCTTTAACAAGGACTTCCGTCGCGCCTTCCGCCGCATCCTGTTCAAGTGATGTTTAGCCTACGTGTGCTGCTACGAGTGCGTCAGTCGACGGGTTCGAACTGCGCAGTACCGCAGCGCACCGAGCGCCCTCTACAGACACTAGTAGGAACATGCACAAACAATAATTCTAACAAGAGTAAATCAAAAGAGGAAAAATACCTAACTTCTAATAGTCTAATTTATATTCTAATACTAAAAAAATGTGAAAAAGATCTATTTTTGTTATTGTGAAACTCGAGGTCTGACAGTGAACGATAAATATCTTGAAACTAAAAGAATTATTTCAATTTTATTTTTGTCATAGGAATGTATTGTATTTTTTAGAATATAATATAGTCTGTCCAACGACAAGATCCTTGACAGTGATAGATATATCTGTCATTTTAATTTCAAATTGTTTATTTTATTTTACAAAGAAATAAGTTGGTACAACTGGAATGCATAGCAGGAAATTAATATATTTAAAATTTGACTGACAAGTGATTGCTTCAAAATATTCTGAAAAAAAACTGTATAAAACTGAAAAAATGTAATCGAGTTATTTAATTTAAAAAAATGGTATGTGTTAATACAAAACAAACAAGAACAAAACACTACATACCAAAAAAAAATATAAAAAGAACTATTTCTTACTTTCAATCTTCAAGAAACTTCCCGCATTTATTATTATATTTATCAATATAACTTATATACAAATACAAATTTGTGATATTCCACAGGAATAAATAAAACAACATAAATAAAACAAACTATTTTATTAATAATAACACTTACCAAATTTTATACCTTAAAAGTTGATTCATTAACTTTAATCTTAATTTTTTTTAACCAGTACTTTTGACATTATTTTTCTGCAGTACTAAAATCCATTATATTATATACCTATCGTGTGATGTCGATATTTTACAGCTACTCCAGTTTTAGTATATGTTTAGTACGATCCTTGTACCATATACGAGATTCACTTATCTACGACGAGATGGTATACAAACTTTATTGATGGTAACTTTATTGGTGTATAAGCAGCTAGTATTAACTATAAACTGTGCTCTGGGTCTACGGTTAATTTTCCCTCGCTTTTTCCTCCACTTGACTTCAAAAGACACAAAACACGTAAATAACGCGAATCCAAATGCATCATCTTCTAAAACACAGGGTATTTGACATAAGTTGACACAAAATTATAACCTATAATTTGGCAAGACTTTGACAACCCTCAAAAATCTAAAGGCGAGTTCATAAGCATCGGCGTCTGTTCGTCGTTCATCGTTCCGTCAAACTAATAGAATTGAAATATCATCTGTCATTTTTGAAATAAACCATTAAGACTGGTTAAAAACAACAAGAAACGACGCATGACGGATTTATATTTAAACCCATCCATAGTTAACTTAAAAAATATTAGAAACTTTTGTTAGTAAAATGTAAAATAAGTAGATTGGTATGGGAAGTCATCTGCTTTTCTTCTGTCATTGTCTGTCGAAATTTTACCTGAGAAAAAAAACACAGTATAACAGAATATTAATATTATCATTAATTTCTTACTGAATATATATAAGCTTATGTCGCGTCGTCTTGGTTACGCTAACCATAAATAGAGCCATAACTCACTTGCGACGTTATTAACTGGAATTAATGCCATATAATTCACTCTACTTTACAAGTTACAATCATGAAATACAATAGATATTTTAAGTAATAATATAAAATGAAAATGGGTACTCATCTAACTACCCTAATAATTTATTTACATCATTAATGTCACATATAAAAAAAATTACAAGAGAACAGCAGGCCCTAGACACTCAATAGTATATGATTTTATGGAACTACAAATTTAGTTTCTTCCGCATCACCAGACGGCACAAAAGACATTAAAGTACAGGTTTCTAATTTCAATATGAATATGACATGACAGCCTCTATGTTTACTACCATCTGTGGTCTAGTTTTGGTCTAGTTGTCAAAACATTGGTGATCCGTCAAGTTATTTTTTATTTATTTTTTATAAAAGACGATAAAATACCATTTCCTGCATTAATATTTCCTGTATAAGTTGACCGAAAAGAATGAATTTCGGGAGACGATAATACAATAATTTTATCGTGTATAAAACAATATTTATTTCCATAGCGAGTTACGTTTTAAAAAATATTCAGAAATTATTATTTCAAGGAATTTATTACGAGTAGAAAAAATGTTGTGCTGGGTTGGCATTGGTTTCTATGTAATTTGACAAATAAATAAAGCTGTCTCTTTAGTTGTCAGTTTTGAGTAGTAATATTTTTTAATTCTCTTTTTCGTGTCGTTTGCTGATTGAATTGGAGCCAGAAATGGCTCAAAACGAAATAAGTAAATTACCAACAGATATTGAGGCTGAGGCGACAAACGCCATATCCAAACTACTTCCATTTAAATCACGAATAATTTATGAAAAGGAATACAAAAATTGTCAAAAATGGAAGCAATTAAAAACATGCGAAAAAAAATTAAGTTTTTAACGTATCCTCGCTGTTAAAGTATCATTTAATCTACCCTTGCGGTTAAAGTACTATTTTATCTACTATTTTTGATGGATGTAAGGCAATTTTAACAGTTGCTATGGAAAAAATAATTTTTAAATAATTATTAATTCAAATATTCCTGATTTGTCGGAAAGTTCGGTGCTTTGTGTTTTTATTAATTTGTGCATTTAAATATTTCGATCATCATTTTCGTGTTATTTACTAAACTTTTTTATGAAGACATTTTAGAACTAATACATTTATGAAGGAAATAAAAAAATATAGTTTAACCATAAATAAATAAGTACATAGTTAGTAATAGAGTATTTTTAGTTACAGTTAATTAGTAGTCTATAATATTTTTACTAGGTATATTTTAATTTATTTGTTAAATAAAAAATATAGGCTATATGTGCTCTATTACTGGTGTTTAAAATGTATTCATAATTTTATTTTTATTTTTGAATATGTTACACTTCTAATAATCTAATAAAACATAAAATGTAGTGAACAAGTCTATATTTATTATTTTATATTTCACAAGGAATAATTTTGCGCTTGTGAATAACGTTACCGTTTTAGTTAGCACTATTATTAACAGATATATTTTTTTTACTTATGCAAAGGAACGCTAAAATTATGTTATGCCAAAACTCTCCATTAGTTTCTTCCAGATCACCAGGTCGCTCTAAATGACGGACTTATTTGCTTTTTATTAGTGTCCAATCTACCTCTAGTACGTGACATTAGTCTATGGAGAACAGTTTCATCGACATTTCCTGTGACAATATTTTTCTCTCCCTACCACTGACATGACTGTATTATTTATATTTCTTATTTTCATTTCTGGAGATAAATTAGCTCCTTACTGATATAAATCCCACTGCCAAGTTTCAAAAAAAAATTTTTTAAAAAGACTTGAAGATTGCGATATCTGCGAAAAAACGATTTTTTTAAGATTTTACACACTCGCCAAACAGCAGCGGTTAAAATATGATAACCCAGATACAAAGTAATAAACACAGATTAATAAGTAATGGCTATTAAGTTAATATCTTTATTCTTTTCATCATTTAGTATATGTTAGACATATATCTTCTTCTCCTTCCTTCTTCATACTAGGCGAATCGCCTGTTTGGTTTCGTCGTCTCTACCGGTCAGACTGACAAGTTCCATCGTTTCCGTGGACGTCCTAAACTTCTGCAACCTAGCTGTGATTTGTCGCGTGCAACTCTCACTATCCTTCTGTTGTCCATTCTGCTGATATGGTCGTTCCATTTTTCCTTTCTGCTGAGTACCCACTCATTTACATTTTCCACCTTGCACGCTCTTCTTATGCTTGCATTTCTCTCCCTGTCCAGAAGCGTCTTTCCAGCTATTCTGCGTAATACTGTCATTTCGGTTGTCTCTAGTAGTTGTTTAGTTTTCGCTGTATCAGGTTGAGTTTCTGCAGTGTATGTTATTATTGGTCGTACCGTTGCCTTGTAAATTCTCGCTTTAGTTTCCACCTCAATGTTTTTATTTTCGCCATATTGTGTCATTCAGGCATCCTGCTATTCTGGTTGCCTTCGTTGTCCGTTCTCGCACCTCCGCTTCTACATCACCATATCCTGAGATTTCTATGCGTAGATACTTAAACTGTATCTCTTGCTGGATAACATTGCCCGCGACTTCCAGTTTGCATCTTAGTGGTACTTTTGACGTCGTCATGCATTTAGTTTTCTGGGTCAATATTATCATACTAGGTGATTTGGCAGTGCAATTATATCGATGTAATAAGCGCTGTAGATCGTCCTCATTTTCAGCTACCAATACGGCGTCGTGGGCATAACATAGAATAGTAATTTCCTGGTCGCCCATACTGTATCCCTTCAGTAAACGTACATTTCCTATTATTTCGTCCATAATGATGTTGAAAAGAAGAGGGCTCAGGGAGTCACCTCATCGGATACCATGGCCTACATTTATTGGTTCGGTCAGGACCCCGTTAATTTTGGCTTGAATTTGGTTCGCTTCATATATGTTTTGTATGGTTTTAACGAGGTTGTGTAGGATTTGCCTATTGTAAAGAAGGTGTACAACGTCTCTTGCCTATTCTAAAGAAGCTGCACACGGTCCAACGCTTTTTCTAAATCAATAAAACACATATTCGCTGGTTTGTTATATTCGATTGATTTTTCTGTTATCTATCTTATGACAAAAACCGCGTCTGTGCATGATCTGCCCGATCTGAAACCTTACTGTTCATCGGCTAACCATGTTAAGTCGTTAATTTTGGTTGTTATCACTTTTGTCGTAAGTTTTAGACATAGACATATATTAATATAAATAATATAATATGTTAAACATATTAAACTGCCACTTAATATATGTTAGTTCCCGAAATCGATGCTAGCTAGATTCTGATGATGCCTAAAATAAAAATTGGCTAAACGTTAACTAAAATGGTATAATTTCAAATTAAACCAACAATACCTAGAACCAAAATCCCAAAAATATATTTATATTCAAGAAAATACTCAAATTTTCAATAGTAAATACAACGACCTTGCCTGTGAGAAGCGCGGTTTTAAAGC